TGACTGTGTCTAACCACTTTCAGGTGCTTCCAGCTTTAGAGCTTGTACTGCCCTTGTTATTCAGTACCAGGAGCCAGTACTCCCTTGTTATTCAGTACCAGGAGTCGGTACTGCCCTTGTTATTCAGTACCAAGACCTGGTACTCTCCTTGTTAATCAGTACGAGGAGCCGGTACTCCCCTTGTTAATCAGTACCAGGAGCCAGTACTCCTCTTGTTAATCAGTAGCAGGAGCCGGTAGTCCTCTTGTTAATCAGTACCAGGAGCCGGTAGTCCTCTTGTTAATTAGTACAAAGGAGCCGGTACTCCCCTTGTTATTCAGTACCAAGAGCCGGTACTCCTCTTGTTAATCAGTAGCAGGAGCCGGTAGTCCCCTTGTTAATCAGTACCAGGAGCCGGTACTCCCCGTTGTTATTCAGTACTAGGAGACGGTACTCCCTTTGTTATTCAGCACCATGTGTCACTACTCGCCTAACTATTCAATATCAGCAGATACTGAGAGGTGCTGGTACTCTAAAGAAAAAAATAAAGAGGTGCTGGTGTTGCATACCAGTGAATACCGGCCCACATCAAGCACTGACTAAGGTCTAAGAGGAGGCAATCAGAGCAGCACAGACAAAGATATTGCTGCTCAGGGTCAGCCCAAGGCATGAGTAAGCTAATTAGTATTTTGAGGCCCAATGGCCAGCAGGGCCCTATATGTATTAAATAAAATATTTATATTATAATGCTAGGCTAGGTAAGAAGAGCATGTACAGTGGTCCCTCGTTAATCGCGGGAGTTACGTTCTAAAAATAACCAGCAATAGGCGAAATCCGCGAAGTAGGATTCTTTATTTATAAATCGAATATTTTCGTAGTTAGAGCATTGGAAACCTGTTTACGACCTTCTAAATACGGTTTTTAACATTATTAGAGCCCTCTAGACATTAAATAACACCCTTTAGTCACCATTACTTTATGACTACAGGACATGGAAGCAGGAACGGGGAGATGAGGAATCAGGACTGAAGGGTTCATTTGGAATCACTCCAAATGCAGGACACAGGAACATGTAAAATCAAAACGTCAATGACAGACCTGGGGTTATAGACACTGACGTGGACTTCAAACTGAATCAAATTGACAAAACAGCTGGTCACAATCGGGGTTGCATATGTGGTTAATAAGGGGGCGTGGTACACATGTACAAGAGGATTGGACAGGCAGGTCATGACAATTACTCGTATTACCCAAAATATTAGAAAAAATAATAGAAAATAAGAAATATTAGACGTTATAAATATCATATTGTTATTATTGTACATTTAATTACGAAGAGCAAAGATGCTTCCGATGCGTAGCGATGTATCATTTTCATTGTCTCGATCAACCTTTTAATCAATAGACAAAAAACCGTGATAGAGTGATGTATGTCATTTTTCATACCATTATATTGTCCAAATTATGCGTGTCTTCATGTAATCAGGTTCACCACATCTGTGCCTGTTCTTTTATGTGGGCCACTGATTAGAACTAGGGCTAAGTGACTAAAATCCTCCCTTGATAAATTTTGCTAAATCAAAATACTGCAATATAATTGTATCAAGTCCATATTTTCACCCTTACAATGTGTCTGCAAAGACTGAAAAAGATATGTTAAATACTTTCTGAGTTATCATAGTAACATACGTGTCTGAGGCTGCACTTCTCTTTGCTAACATTATGCAGTGCTGCTTTAATTTTGGTGTGATTTGTCTCAAAATTTGATATAGTCCAGATCTTTACCCCTGCAATGTACAGTATTTGCAAGGTTTGGAAAATAGCCATCAAATACTTTTAGAGTTATTATGCCCACAAAACCAAGTATTTTCTATAGCTGACCTTTACGTCCTTTGCTATCACATAGTGGCTGTTTCATTTATTGGGCAGTTTGTCTCAAAATGAAACTAGGTGTAGACCTTCATCCATATAATGTTTTTCTGAAGCAGTAATAAGATCCATCAAATATTTTTTGCTTTATCACATTCACAAGGTCAAATATTGTCTCCATCACCCTTCTCTTTGTGCCACTAAAGTAGCATTGCTTCAGTTTGGGGGCGAGTTGTCTCAGAATTTGACCATTTCCATTTCCTGACCCATACGATGTATCTTAAAAGTTTCAAAAAGATCCTTCAGATACTTTTTCAGTTATCACTCTAACAACATCAAGTGTCAAAACAGTCCCTTTCTTTGCTATGATTATGGTGTGCTGCTTCAATTTTGGGGTGATCTGTCTCAAAATTGAATCAGTTTCAGATAGTTGGAAAAAGGTCCAGAAAATATTTTTCGAGTTATCATGCTAACAGTCTCATGTATCCGAAATGGCCATTTTCTTTGCTCTCACTTTGTGATGCTGCTTCAATCTTAGGCGATCGGTCTCGAAATGTACAGTTCTAATTTGTCATAGAGACAATATGCCTACATTTAAAAAAAATTAATTAGAAAGTGTCTGTGGCAGCACTGGGGGGGAGATCAGTCCCAAAACTGTATGTATTCCACATCCGAGGAATATGGCAACTAGCTTGATCAAATTTTGCCTAGGGCCTCAAAATGGGTTGGGCCGGCCCTTTTACTACTGCTTGGGTATCAGCTTTGGATCTGTTATAGACTGACCTTTAAGCCGCCTGGTTTTTGTTCGCACTCTCATTAAGGATTGCCTCCGTCTTTCCTGGGTGCAGCTTACTGTAGCCCATGATTTGCCTTCATTGCTGCAAGTGTCCTAAGAAACACAAAGTCCCTTGGTTACATTTCTCTATTTTATCCCTTAAGGAAGGCTATATCATTTTAAGGTCTTTTAGTTGGAAATAGCAAATCATTACTAATACATAAAAAATGAGAACTGGTTAGCACATTTATGATACTGTTCAAACCACTGCTTTAATCAAAATGGGTTGCTTAAACAATGAAATCAAACGTACCCTTTGATAGTTGTCTATGATGCTCTGACCCTTCATCGCCTGTTCAAATTTGGCACATTGCTGGTATGATTCGTCTTCTGTCATATTATGGTGTTTATCCACATAAGAGCCCTCTGTCTTTGAGGCACCCATTCTTACTCTCCTGTGGTGATGCTGTGGGATACGGGCTACCTTGTGCTCAAAGACTTTATCAGACAGCAGCTGTGGTTTCTTGGCCCTGTAGGTATCTGTGGTGAATTTATTCAACTGGTCAGAGCAGCTCACAAACCCCTGCAGCAATTTTGATTGTCCACCCTCCAACCACCATTCTGAAGACATCTTTTCTACAAAAACGTCAGCTGGACCACCAAGGACACTTTCGTCATCGTCTTCTGTTCCATACTCCAAGTTAATTTCCATTCCTGAGCCTTCACTGGCCCTGGTTCTTATAACAGTCTTACTCCCTAGGTACTGGTCTGATGAATGCCGAATGGGGGACATTAGGTTCTTCTGCAAGACAGCATTCCTCAGTTGGTCTCCACCCTTGTGTGAGCTTTCCACATGATAAGACTGATGTACCCTTTCAGGTGCCTTAAAAATTTCTGTGATAGTGGCATTAACATTGTTATCTGAGTCCTCTTCCTGGTAGCTGATACTTTCCACAATATCTGAGTAATGTACTCTGCGCTCTGGTTTGCTCTTAGCATGTAGGATTCTTCCACATCTTCCACTTAACCTCTCACCTTGGTCTCCATCAATGTAATGCCTAGGTTTGGAAGTGACATATGAAACCTCAGAGCCTTGGGGTTTGCTGATCCTTGGAAGACGATCACCTCCTACAGGCCCAGAGTTGTTGTTTGAGTGTCGGTCTGGTGGTGATGCCATGTTCTTGGAAGCAATAATTTTCTCCTGCTGTGGTCCAACTTGCTGATTCTGTGCAGAGCTTGGCCGTGGTGGCTCTACACATTTTTCTATGTTGTCTTCCTCCTCCGTTCCTTCAGAAATGCTGACGAGATGTTTCTTATTTTGAGCTTGCCAGGGTAGCCTCATAAGTCTTCGCAAATGTTCCTCATCACTGTCCGTCTCATAGTGGTCTGGCTGCGTGTGTAGCCATAGGGAAAGAAGACAAGAGATTTCATGGAGTGGAAAACACACCACCATTAAGGAGGAAAAAAGCTAATGATTAAATCCCCCAGAATGAAACTATTATTTTAGATTTTTATGTTTATTAGTAGTCATAAATATCACTTTACTTGATGGGGCACTAATAAGAACATAAGAACATAAGAACTATACAAACGAGAGGAGGCCATTCGGCCCATCGAGCTCGCTTGGAGAGAACTTAACTAATAGCTCAGAGTTGTTAAAATCTTATCTAGCTCTGATTTAAAGGAACCCAAGGATTCAGCTTGCACTACGTTATCAGGA